AGTTAGTTTTCAGCCTTTTCCTATACTTTGTTAGATACTATCTCTGCAGACATGCTACTCCACGTGTAAACCCAGAATGGTTTAGAACAGGGATCGGCAACCTTAAACACTCAAAGAGCCATTTCAACCAGTCTCCCACAGAAAAGAAAACACCGGGAGCCACAAAACCCTTTTGACATCTAAAATAAAGATAGCACTGCTTATATAATTTTTTTACCTTTATGCTATGTATAAAAGAACTATAATGTGTTGCATTTATGGAATCAACGAACTGCTACAGAGAAAACTATTTTTTTATTTCTGCGTGCAACAAAAACATTTTGAACTGAACAGGGGGGAAAATGGGTTGAAAACCTCAATAAATTGCGTGCCAGCGGGTATCGCACATTGGCAGTTGTGACTCATATTTTGAGCGACAGAGAGCCGCAGCAGAAGGATGAAAGAGCCACATCTGGCTCCGGAGCAGCAGATTGCAGATCCTTGGTTTAGAGTCATCCCTTTTAAAACAGGTAGTCCTTAACCTACGACCACAATTGAGCTCAAAAGCTAAGCAAGACAGTTTTAAAAAGAGTTTTAGCTTACGACCTTTCTTGTCCAAGTTGGAAAGTGAGTTCTGCGCTGTCAAGTTTGTAACATGATTGTTGAGTGATTTTGGCTTCCCCATTGATTTTGCTTGTCAGAAGGTTGCAAAAAGTGGTTATGTGTCTCAGGAGTCAGTTATCCTAAATACCTGCCAGTTGCCAAGTGTCTGGATTTTGACCAAGTGACAATGGGGATGCTGCAATAGTCATTAGTGTGAAAAATGATCATAAGCCAGTTTTTTAAGCGCCATTGAAACTTCGAACGATCACTAAATGAATAGTTGCAAGTCATATAAATGCTACCTGTCCTGTTCCTGATAGGCTCCTTCTCCACAAAGGCACATGAAGACTGGATTTGCTAAACATGAATGTATTGAATAAATAAATTGTTGAATAAATAAAATTCATTCAATGCACTAAGCAATTAACAACAGTTCCCAGATTTAGATATTACATTAGGCCTAGTCCAAACAAACCACATTATAACCTAGTCTGACGTGTGGACTCACTCACTCATAGTTTTATAATTTCTGCCCGTTTGGTGAGTGGCCTCTGTCTTGGAATCAGTTCAAATTGATTATAAATTCTTAACTGACTTGTTTAACGAGGAATTTTGATTGGATTTAATTTATAACCTTTAAAGTTGCAATTGTGAGCTACTAGGAAGCAGCAGCACCAGTAATGGAATTTGGCAAATGGTCAGCAACAGGCCTCCATCATAAAGTATCTTATTGGTAATCCTATCTGCCTCTCCCAGATAATATTATCATATTAGTCAAAATAAATTTATGAGCCATGTCCCATACTTTAATCAGCTTTTACCTCAGAATTGGTAAGTGATTAAAAATTCCTATTATGTGCCTTTAACCTTTCTGTGTGACTCAGAGATATTCATTAGATTCATCTGATATTAGTTTTAAATGGGAATTTAAGTTCCTGACAATCCTGATCGTAAAGTCAATTTTTCACAAAAGGAGAGGCGGGAAACGATGGGAAGGGTCGACAGAAAAGAAAGCAAAGTTGAACACAAATTCTTAGCCACAAAGTTCTTATTCTGACCAGGTGGATCCAAATGGCTTAAGAGCTGAACATGGCTGTTTTATCGGCAGAGAAATGGGTGAGACCTGCTTCCTCTCTCAGTCTCCGCGAGAGGAGGTAGAATAAAAAACTGGGATTCTGGGGTTAGCACTAGCAATAGCACTTAGACATATACCACTTAACAGGGCTTTACAGCCCTCTCTAGGCAGTTTTACAGAGTCAGCCTATTGCCCCCAACAATCTGGGCCTTCATTTTACCCACCTCAGAAGGATGGAAGGTTGAGTCAACCTTGAGCTAGCAAGGATCGAACTGCCGAACTGCTAGCAACCGGCAGTCAGCAGAAGTAGCCTGCAGTACTGCACTCTAACTATTGCGCCACCACGCAGTGGTATTCATCATCAAACTGGAAGAGAATAAGAAGCATGAGGGGTCCTTCTCCCTTTGCCCCGAAATACAAGGTGGGTGACTATGGGGAATATGAAGGAGACCCCCCAGATTAGAAGGGTGCCCAAAACCAGCTCTAACCATCACAGAAGCCATGTGCATGAGAGGGAGAGGTTAACATTCCATCAGGACAGGACAAGGGAGCGAATAATCTTTGGACAGAGATCTGTTGACCAAGCCCCCTTGACGCTGAATATTCACTGCCTGTGTAGCTGCTCCGGGATCAATAATGCTGCCTGAGTGGGCATCATGACTGGCAGGACAGCAGGCTAGAACCCATGGGAGCCGATTTGGTGCACACCAGCGAGGGAGGGAGGGGATGGTTAATGAACAAGCAGAGAGCAAAGCCTGATGGGCTGAGTTCCCACTAAAGCTAAGGGAAGATGCTTCCGTTTCATGTTACCTCAGCATCGCAGCTTTTGTGATTGCAAATGGGTGCTCCTCTTTGGGACTTCTCCTAGGGAAGATGGTTTCCCAGTGTGTAGTAAAAGTCTTGTCTTTTACTACAGGAGGAGGAAGACGAAGGGGATCATTGGAGGTGAGAAACGCAAGAGATACCAGTTGTCCTTGACTTATAACCATTTGTTCACCGTGTGTTCAACGTTAACAATAACAACAACACTCAAAATAGTGACTTATAATCAATCCTTGCTCTTAACGATTATTGCAGCTTCCCCATGATTAAAATTTGGCAATTGGCATGTATTTACAATGGCTGTAGTGTCCCGGAGTCACATGATCACCATTTGCAATCTTCCCAGCTGGCTTCCGACAAGCGGAGTCAGTGGGAGAAGCCAAATTCATTTAACAACCCTGATATTCACTTAACAACTGCAGTGATTTGCTTAACAACCATGGTGGAAAAAAATTGCACAAATCAGCAAGACTGGCTTATAACAACGGTGTTGCCGAGTAATGGAAATTCAAGCCCCAGTTGTAGTCATAAGTCAAGGATTAACTGTATCTGAGATTTACAGAGGGAAGGAAGCTGAGAAAATGGCGTTTCCTCTTGGGGAGAAGGATGTTCAACTCACGGTCCTTCTGTTGCTTTTACAGCTGAAGTCCAGAGCGAGATTGAGCGGATCTTTGAATTGGCTAAGTCCTTGCAACTGGTAGTGTTGGATGCAGACACCATCAATCACCCAGCTCAGCTGGCCAAAACCTCTCTGGCTCCTATCGTTGTCTATGTGAAAGTTTCTTCCCCAAAGGTGAGCTGGGAATACAGGGATTACACCCAGCTGGCAGCTTTGCTCCCATCCAGCACCAGTCTTCCCAGGAGGAGCTTCCTGCTGCCTCCTTGTGCTGTGTTCCCTGGTGATGTTCCTAGATTACAAAGATCTAAGCCTTATTTAATAACCTTTACAACAGCCCTCACAACAGGGGGAACAAAACAGTTGCTATCCAAATAAAGGTAGCAAGTCAGAACAATCAGAGAGAGGGGGGGGGAAGGAGGGAGGATACCCCTATCCCACTCCTTTCTTTGCCTTCCTAAACAAATTCCATTCTTCTCTCTGGGTTTAGCTGCATTTCTGAAGCTTATTAAAGGACCAGCTTGTCTATGTCTATGTCTAGAGACACCCCTCCCATTCCTTCTGTGAATGTTGCCTTCCACCTCCATTCTCTGCTTTAAAAGACAAGATTCCAGGTACATGTTCCATAGCAGATGGTGATGGAAAAATACAGTGCAGTCTTCGGGATTTTATGCTAAAGCTGCTTGTAGCAGAGTGACCCGGATTGCCCTGCCATTTTCTTTTTAAGGAAATTTGATTGGAAATGGTTGTTTTCCATGGCAGAGCGATGCCAGCCTTGATTTCTGAGTGAACAGCCGGATAGTCCCAAAGTTGCTTCTTCTTTTTTATTTTTAGAAAGTTTGGAAAAAGCACCTTTGGGACTACTAGTCTCTACATGTTGTAAAAAGCCCCTTTGTCACAACAATGACCTGGATGATTGAGAATCTCCATAGACATAGGGCCTGATAGGAGGGTGGGCTAGAAAGCTACCCTATCAGAAGAAGAAGCCACATCAATCAAGAGAATCCCCTCCCTTCCTTAGGAAGCCCATGTTCATTTCCAATAAGACCATTCAACCTTTGGGTGACTATGGGCTATCTGTCGTAATTAGGAGCAGTTGTATCTACTCTGTTTCCCTTAAAATCAGAGCTCCCCGATAATAAGCCCAATTGGGCTTTTGAGCGCATGCACTAAAATAAGCCCTTCCCGAACGTATTGCAATACAGCATCAGCCATGATGAACACACTCACTACCTCCTGCACCTCAAAAACAATAAAATCTCCCAGAAAATAAGGCCAAGCACTTATTTCGGGGGTTAAAAGAAAATAAGACCCTGTCTTATTTTCTGGAAAACATGGTACAATGAGGAAATGATTCAAAGGGGTATGGACAAGAATTTTGCTTGAGAAACAGACTTTGGAGATGTTGCTTTGTTTTTTAAGTTATTTTAGCCAAAACATATTGGCTGCCTGACTGTTTTCACACGTCTCCTGCCTCAGAATGCACCAATATTGCATATTTGTACAGAGGGACATTTGATCTTGTGTGGACCAAGGAAAAGGGGCTAAGGGCCACATAGGAGTTAGGCTGTTAGCAGCAGAGCTCAGCAGATGTGTAATTTTCTCGGTTGGCCAAGGCTGAGAAAAGGAATGGAATGTTTTTGAATGAATGTTCCTATCCAGAAAGCCAAATTCATTCCTCGGCAACTGTCTTACTTATGTACAGCAATAGCTCTAGATGAGCTCTTCCCAATGGAGGCACCTGCCAGATGTTGGGGTTAAGGAATCCCAAGGTAAGCAAGCCAAGACCATTCTTGAGAGTTAATTAACCTACTTTAATTAACCCACGGACTTTTAAGTAAGGGTGTTCCAGATGTATTCTAATTCTTAACCTAAATCTGTTACTAAGACATGATTTTAGCTCTAGATTTTTTATGGAGACTTTGAACTCTTTGCCTGTATCTTCTCCTTTTTCTGTGTAAGGTGTTGCAACGCCTTATTAAATCCAGAGGGAAATCACAGGTGAAGCATCTCAATGTGCAAATGATGGCTGCTGACAAGCTTGTCCAGTGTCCTCCGGTGAGTCTTTTATGCATGATGTTTTTGATTCATCTCCCATCTCCTCCTTGTCTTGGCTCTGCTTGGGTCCACTTTGGTGGCATGAGTGAAATAAATTTCTCAGGCTGCCCTTCTCTACTGATACCCTGCCCCTTTCTTAAAGAGACTGATATAAAGTTACATTTTATAACCAGTTTGTTTTTGGACATGCAGATTTTTTCCCCACAAACCCAGGCGTGGGCTGCTACGGGTTTGTCCGGGTTCGGGAGAACCTGTAGCTAACGTTATGGCCAGTTTGGAGAACCTCCAAATCCCACCCCTGACTGCAGGGGAGGGCAGCCATCAGAACTTCACCACCGGGTTGTTAGTACCTTTGGGGTGGGGGTCTGTTGCATTTTAAGCAGTTGCTAAGTGACTGGTCTTAAGTTGAGGACTAGCTGTACAGCAAGGACAGATTGCAGTGCAGTATATAAGTCTTACTTCGTCCTCTTCTTTTTTATCTTTGCTTTTGTTTCCCCCAAGGAACTCTTTGATGTGATCCTAGATGAGAACCAGCTGGAGGATGCTTGTGAACATCTGTCTGAGTATTTGGAGGTATACTGGCGAGCAACCCACCACCCTGCACAAAACCTTGGGAGCCAAAACCTCCTGACTCCTTCCACTGCCATTTCTGGCCTGCAGGTACAACAAATTGCCTTCTTGCCCCAACTGAAGACTCTCTAGTACCACATCCAGTTTCTAGCAGTGACTGTGACAGATGTTTTGAAGCTCGTTGGGGGACTCCAAAGGCAGAAGGCTACCCTTGTTATCTCCAACCATTGGGAATTGCTATTACATTGCTCCCAAACTAACCCTCAAATTGGACAGTGAACCTTGGCACCACCAGGTATTGGACTCCAGATGCCACTAGCTGTTGCCAACATTGCCAATGGTCATTCTTTGTGCCCAAAAATATTTTGACTGGCAGATGTTTTCTATCTTCGAGTTATTCTCTTAGAGAAACTTCAACCAGTTGCATCTCATTCCAAAAATCTAGCTTTGGGTGAAGATGAAGAGACCAATATACAGGTTGTTATTGACTTATGAGCGCATTTGGGACCAAAATTTCTGTTGCTAAACAAGGTGATTGTTAAATGAATCTGGACCAATTTTATAACCTCTTTTTGCTTCAGTTGTTAAACAACTGTGGATCCTCCTGGATCCACAGCTGACCTTTGATCACCACCTGTCGGCTGTGACCAGGGGGGCATTTGCCCAGGTTCGCCTGGTGCGCCAGTTGCGACCCTACCTGAATCAGGAGGCTCTCACAACAGTCACTCGCACCCTCGTGACCTCTAGGCTGGAATACTGCAATGTGCTCTACATGGGGCTGCCCTTGAAGAGCATCCGGCGGCTTCAGCTAGTCCAGAATGCGGCCGCGCGAGTGATTGTGGGTGCACCTCGGTTCACCCACATAACACCTATCCTCCGCGAGCTGCACTGGCTACCTGTTGATCTCCATGTGCGCTTCAAGGTGCTTCTTACTACCTACAAAGCCCTTCATGGTAGTGGATCTGCCAATCACCTCCTCTCGACCCATAAGATCTGCCAATCACCTCCTCTCAACCCATAAGATCCCACAGATTGGGCCTCCTCCGAGTGCCATCTGCCAGATCTCCCCGTGGAGATTCGTACCCTCACCACCCTTCAGACCTTCCGCACAGCCCTCAAGATCTGGCTATCCCGCCAGGCCTGGGGGTAAAGACCATAATTTGCCCCTGCCCAAATGTTGAATGAATGTTGTTTGATTTTAACTATATACTGTGTTTTTATGTTATTGTATGTCTTCCCTTCCCATATAAGTTGTTAGCCGCCCTGAGTCCCCTCAGGGAAAAGGGCGGCCTATAAATAAACGCAACTCAACTCAACTCAAATCACTGTTGTTAAGTGAATCACATGGTTGTTAAGAGAATCTGGCTTCCTCCAGATGTTGGAAGTTGGCTAGGAATCTTGCAAAAATGGTGTCAGTATTTTGATCATGTGACCATGGGGACACTGCAATGGTTGTAAGTGCGAGGATCATTTATACATCACTTTTTAAAGCCCAATTGTAACTATCTGGAGTCACTACATGAATGCTTGTAAATCAAGGACTACCTAAACAGCTAAAAAAAAACCAGCCTCATTTAACCCATGAAGAAATATAAGCAAATTTATTGTTTCTCCTAGCTGATTGATTTGATTAAAACTTTGTCAGGAGATTAATTAGTAGTGAAGCAAAGAATCAGTCCTAATCCAAATTGAAATTTCTTGATCATAAATACTGTAATTGGAAACAGAATATATGAACCTATCCTGTGCAAATCAATAAATTGCAGGGCACCGGTAGAACTTATTTCTTCTCCATTTCAATATTTTTGGTGAAAGTATAAGTGCAATGAACAGAGCCAGCATGGAATTCAGGAATTCTGAGAGTCGAGGTCCACTGGTCATAAAGGGGCCATCGTTCCCCACCCCTGCTGCAGATGGATTGGGGATCCTAAATCTAGTCATATGGAAGCTCTTGGATGGAGCAAATTAAGGGATGCCTTCCAACCTGTCATGTTGGGAGAGCACCAAGGCTTGCTAACAACTTCCTTCTGCCCTTCCTTCCCGCAGAGCCAGGCCCCGATGGGCGAGCATGAGAGTGAGCGCTCCCCGGTGGAGCACGACAGCTTGATGCAATCTGACGAAGTGAGCGACGCCTCGCGCAAGACATGGACGGCGTCCTCTCAGCGCAGCTCCCGGCACCTGGAGGATGAATACTCCGATGCCTACACTGACCTGTACCAGCCTCACCGCAACCACAACAGTGGCCTCCGCAGCACCAACGGCCATGACTCGCAGGACCGTCTTCTGGAGCGCGACTCTGAGCACAATCACAATGACAGGAACTGGCAACGCAACCGGCCCTGGGCCAAAGATAGTTATTGAAACTTCCTGGCTAGGCCTCCAGGGACATAAGACACGGCTGCTGCTGTCTTTGCCATCTCCCAAACTGAGTTAATTGCCTGATCTCAAGCCTTTGTTTCCCTTTGTAGCTAACCCCCACAGAGTGCAGGCCCTGCCCCAATACACAGGTGCTATCTAGGGAAGCCCAGACATAGCCATGGCTGCCTAAAAGAGGTTAGGTGATTTGTCTGGCCCTCCTTCACTTTGGATTACGTAGGCCATGGTAGTATTTTGCAGGGTAAACTTCACATCCTTCACATCACATTCTATTTTGGGAGGGGTGGGGAGGCTAGGAGCTGGATTGGGCTTCTGCATCTCAGAGGAAGAATTTTTTTTTCCAAGAGAGAAGCTGGCTGTGGCTCCATTTTTAACTGAGCAGGAGATCAGAGCCGAAGATTACATGGGAGAAAGTAAGACAGGCATGTAGAGACCTTAGGATGAGTTTACTTCTTCCAAGCGAGAGACCCAGAGCCTCACTTTTTGCCTTGCTGTAAGGTTAGACCTGTGTGCATATGTCCCAAGATCTGTCCGGAAATTGAGACTGATGTAGATAAACTAAGATTGCTAATTAAGAGTGATGCACTCTAGAAATTGATATGAACAGCCAATGCTGATTCAGTTACAGGGCGTCATCTTCACAGCATTGGCAACCATTTTGTGCAAATGCTTTGGTGAAACATATGCAATAAAGCAGCAGTGAAACTGAGCCACAATATTTCAGCCTGCACAGAAAAGGTAAAACATCAGGAAGAAGGTAGAACTAAAATGCTCCCTGACATTGAATGTTCTGCATTTGGGGAGATTTTAGTTTTGTTTAAAGTCGAGATGATGAAAGACCATTCAACTAGCGCAGGGTCGTCTAAGAGATTATTGATAAATTATCCACTGCTAATTTGGATATAATCCAAGAATCACAAGGCCAAAAAAAGATCTATGTGACGGTGATGTTCATGACTATCACTGAGAGGGCTACACAGCTTCAATCTTCTGTTGCCCCTGCAATTATTGATAGATGGGTAGGGTCAGATACAAAAAGAAAAAAAAAATTGCTTCAGATTTACCCAAGATTTTCTTAGTTTTCATATTCTTTTATGTAATTCCCATGACCTTGAAGCAAGTTATTGATTCTAAGGAAGCTGAGATGCAAACTGTACTAACACGTGTAATAAAGCCTCAAGGATCATTTGGTAGAGTAGCCCCAAAGTATTCTATGTCCAACATATCCCAGCCAACTGGCTGCCTTTTCTAGACAGAGCTTTAGATCCAAAGGGCGGGGAGGGGGGAGAGGAGTCTTCAGCAGAGAAAGTAATTTTGCACAAAAAAATAAGCCAGTGGAGAAGGGTTTAATTAGGCCTTTCCTAACTCTTGCCGGCCTTCTATTCCAAATCTATTTCATCCCCAATAGAGTGAAATCCTTGGAACCCTTATTTTCTCAGAACCCCAACGCTCAGCCTTGTTCCTCTTGCTCTGCTAGGCCATCTCCTGCACAGTCACTTCTGTTAGAGGACTAGTGGGAAGACATTTTTAAAGCCACAGTATGAGATGCTTAAATCTGTATCCTCCTCACTTGTTCCAAAATTCCTTGCTAATTGCATGCAACCTTGATCTTCCACATGCCACTTGTGTTGCGGGAAGTGGAAGGAAGATGAGGTGCCGAGTGTATCGGTGGGCCCTGCTCTTTCATGGTGACTCCTACCCTCAGCACTTTGGGGCTTCCATCTTGTGGAAGTGGCCCAGGGCTATACCCATCCTACTTCCTGCTTTTTCTAATGCGCAAACCTTGCTCTTCCATTCCCCTATTCCATTCTCGGGGCAGTGGGTGGCAGCCCCTTCCTTTCAAAAAGCACGTACAGCTACCAGAAAAATCAGCCTGTAAATATTGCCCACTAGCATTGAGAGTTGTGTTGAGTGTCTGTCGTACCCCTGGATGGTCCAGAGCCAAAGGGGAAATGCTCTTCCCTCTTTTTGTGGCTTAGGTGGTTTGAGGACGGGGAAATGTTTCTATCCCTGCGGTAGTGGTTGTTTGATGGGCTGCTGCAACAGCTTTGTTACTCTTCTTTTGTAGAGAGCACTTATTTCCCCCAAAACTTGTAAGCCGTTTGAAACAAGCATTTGCTATTTATAACATGTGGCTGAGTGGTTGTTATTTTGAGTACAGCTGCAAGGGCATTGGAACGGAGGGTTTGAAGGACAAAACACAAGATAGTGTTTTGGTTGGTGTTCATGGCACCCTTCCCTGAGGCAACACTAAACTCAGCGTGGTTCTTGAGCCAAAGGTTGGGATGAACAGATATCCCATGACTTGAGTGTTCAGAATTGATCTATCACAATTTTCAATTGGCTACAGAGTTACTCTCTTCTGGGGTAGGAGTAAGGCTTGGACTCCTCTAACTTGTAGACTTTAGGCTACAATTCCAAGAGTTCCTTGGGGAAAATCAATGGCAATTACATGGGATACATAAGCCACACATTAGCAGTATAATTAATTGTCTCAAGAGTTCAGGCATAAGCAGCTTTCATGTTAAAGTGGCAAAGGTTCAAATACAATAGCCAGTTGAAACAAATACTGATTAGTTCAAATGGCATTTGAGCAGGTAGGTCAATGAATGGGTAGCCACTGTCAAGCTCTTGATGGATTTACCCATCAATTGCATTCAACCTAGGAAAGTTGCAGATTGAGTGGCATCTAACCTTCCTTCAGATAACAACTGAAACACTGAAATTGCCTTTTAATTAAAATGTCAGAAGTCTGTCTATTAACCAATACTCAAGTACATGTGCAATACACACCATATAAGTAGCATTTCTGCTTGCTCCCTATGCATCAATTCTAACTTTCAGATACAGTAGAACAAACCTAGCCTGGCACCCACTTTTCCCTAGCTGTCTGTCAGAGGTCATCTTCTGAAGGGCTGCATGTTTCCATTCACAAAATGCATTTTGACGAGTCTCACTTTGAAAATTACTATAGAAACTACTATAGGTACCTATAGAATGGCTCACTATTTTTGGCTTTCGAGAAACGTTTTAAAAAGCTATGGTCTGGAAATCTATCTTGTTGCACTACAAGGTAGTCTGAAAAGCCATATTTTTACAGGAATTCCAACTGAAAATTTGGTTATTTTTTTTTTTGTATGAATATGAATTGCCTTTAGAGCAGGTATCTCTAACCTTGGAAACTTGTGGTAGTCTTAAAGTACAAACCTAAACAACCAATCAGTTGCAACAAGATAAGCTCATTTTAGACTGCACTGTTGCTTAACAAATATCTCCTCTTTGCATCATCCTATTCTAGTTCTAGTCCCGCCATAGCCAGGGAAGCCCATGGGGTGCCAGTGGGACAGTCATTGTCTCTCAACCCAAACCACCTCACAGGGTTGTTGTTGGGAAAACAGGAGGAAAGGTGTGTTGAAAATGTTTGTCGTTTTGAGTTATTTGTAAAAATAATAAAGATGGGAATATAATTAAATAAATAAATAAATATATTGGGGATGAAAATTGAGAAACATCATGTTCATAAGCATAGACATTTATGTGTCAGGTTGTGCAATTTTGCAGAGTTTGAGATTCAGTGCAAGAAGCTTTTTCTAGAAGTTTCTCAAGCTTGTGCTATTGAGTTGATGAACAGCCAGGAATATCACCTTAAGCGCATGAAAGTGCACATAAAAAAGAGACTCTATAGTAGCACTAATACAATTCATGGCACAGTTGAAAAACTTCACCCTCAAACTGCTGGTATATCATTAACACGTTTGTTGTAATAATGCAACATTTTGTAAACAAGAGAGAACCCAAACATTTGTTTTCAACTGCTGGCGCTTTTTCCTGAGACTTTTGAAACTGATGTCAAACGTAGCTATTTTGGTCAAAGGAATTTTTTCCCTCCCAAATTCAATTTGCAACCTACCTCAGAAGAAAACTATAGCAAACAACGCAGAGGAAATTATTGACTTTTCAGGAAACAAAGTCTTTCCTTGGTTTCTCCAGACTTCTCAATTTAAGTATTATTTTGCTACAAGCAGTGCCACTGTTTCTCATTCACATATAATATAAAATAGCACAGCATTAAGCAACCAACTTATTCTTATTTCTAATTGATAGTCCTTTTAGCAGAACCGCGTCATTCAAAAAGAACAACAGCAGTACAGCTATGGCAGCAGTATCCCAGGTCTTTACAACGTACATATTTCTACTTGTGAAAAACCAAGAATAAACAGGCAGGACAATGTTTCATATGGATTTATAGTAATTTTTTTCAGGTCATTGAAAAAAAAAAGGTCTCTTTCTGTACATTACCTGCCCTTTTTTGGGGGGGGGGGCAGTTCTAGATAAAACAAAAACACAATTGCATTGAAACATTAACATCTTAAGATTAGAAATGGGGAGAAATCCTCACTAGAGCAGGAAAAGAGTCTAGAGAAGTGATCACAAATAGAATTCCCCTCTTCATTGGGCCAAGCTCAAAAAGTCCTTGTCTGATATACGGAGATGGCAAATGTAGAAATCGATAACTGAACCCCCCCGCCTTTCAAATATGTTTGGAAATATCAAATCAGAAAGTCAAGATTGCTAGCCATTCTCAACCACCACAAGAAAAAGAAATACAAGTTTTCTATAGACACCATCTTCAAGAACATTAAAAGGATCTGTGGAGATCAAGATTTGAAAGATGACACCTTATTCTCTTGGAGAAATGTTCCCATTGTTCAGTCTTCAATTCAATGCAGAGTTGTCATGTATAGAGAGGGAAAAGTGTATTTACATTCACAGAAAATGAGAAAATGAAACTTCACTGCTAAAGACTGGAAGAGCCACTATGCTTTTACCCTGTGTCATTGGCTAGGCCTCAAATGGTGGTCAAAAGGTGGCCTGATTATAATACAAGGGGGTGGGGAGGGCTGTTTGTAGGCTAACTACACACTCAGGCAAAGATAGTCTCCTCCCGACGCTTCTTAGTGAGGATGGTTCCTGGTTTGTGTTGGGCATCTGGATGATTGGCTAGTTCTGGGGGGCATGAAGACACCGGACTCTCAAGGATAGCTTGCTTAAGGTCATAGAAGACAGCAGAGTCCTCTTTGGTGACAAAAGAAATAGCAACGCCACTTTTCCCAGCTCGTCCTGTTCGGCCAATGCGGTGGATGTAATCTGCAACAAAGAAGGAATTGAATTGTCAAGGCACAGACAATGCTGGTACATCAGATGCAATTTGGAATCCTAGCACAGAGTCCCCCAACCTTTCCAGCCTTGCGGACAGGCGGTAGGGGGTGAGGTGATGGTTCTGTTCCAGGGGCCGGCAAGTGTTGTTACATGTGTTAGGTCTGCTTTGGAGTTATGTCTGCCTTGCATGCAGCTTTATTTCTTTCTAGCATTCATTTCCATTGTTTTGTGATGCATTTCCTGCATCTCTAGGATTTCTCTGTCTCTCTCTCTCTCTCTCTCTCTCCCCCTCCCTCCCTCGGCTTGTATAGCGTTTTTAACTGCACGTGTGCATGTGCTCGTCCACTGCTCACTGTGGGGACGTGCATGTGCATGTTTGCCTACCATTTCTACAACTTGGTTGCAAACACAGCCCAGAGATTGGAAACCCCTGACCTACAGGACTCTGGAGAACTGTACGGCTATCCCTTAAGAATAGAGTAATGTTTAAGAGAGCAATAAGCAATGGATAGAGCATTTCAAGGCTCAGAGTACTTTCCATACATTATTTCAACAATCTTGGGACTAGCCTGTAAGACAAGGTGCCGAGTAGTTCTGCTTTGTAAAAACTGTCTAATAAGAAGGCAACTGGCAGATCTAAATTACATATTTTATGGCATATTTATTTTGCCACAATTTGCCATCAGCAATCTGCTGCTAGGAGAATCCACATCGCTATGAGATTGGCTGGGGACATATCCTCTAATATTCCACTCCCCCTGCTTAACTGGTATTGACACATGCTCACAAACACTAGTTCTTCCAAATTTCCAAATTCAGAGAAAAGAACTATCGAACGTTCCACAGCTGGGGCAACTCAAAGGAAAGGACAAATAATAGGATAGCTCACCTTCTATGTTTTTAGCCATATCGTAATTCACCACCATGGACACATCGTGAATGTCAATACCACGACCGGCTACATCAGTGGCCACCAAAATGTCCTTGGCACCGGCCTTCAAATTGGAGAGGGCAAATTCACGCTGCTCCTGACCTTTACCACCATGAAGAGTGCAAGCATTGTACTGTAGAGACAAGGAGAACGATATATTAAGAAAACTCCAACCGTAGTAGCGGGGGTGGTGCTGAAGAGAAGTGAGCAGGAACAAATATTGATTATCTCAAAGGCACAGATATATTTGAAAGGGAACTGCAGCAAAATTAGCTCTACCAATTTCCATACAATTTTGGCGGTATCTTGCAAGTTACTTTAGGCATAAAAATAATTGGCAGTCAGCAGAGACAGTCCTCTTCTAAGGAACAAAGTTCCCAGATGAAAAGTTATGAAATTGATGAATACATTGTACAAGCTACTTGCTCAACAGTGGACCCCAAGAGAACATTGGAGAGAGAACTACACATTGTCCAAAAGATAAGGAAAGATTCCCTTCTGGGAGCGTGGATGCCGTAAAAGATGGCCCCTGGTTAACCCTAACAAACCTTGATCTCAACAAACATTTGCAATTCTGTAACTCTAAATAGGATCATGACTCACCCCCATTTTCTCCAAAGATTTGGCCAATACATCACAGCCCTTCTTCTGATTGACAAAGATGATAATGGGTGGATCAAAGCCTTGCTCCAAAATAGCCAACAGTTTCTTTCTGTGTAAGTGAAAGGGGAAAAATGGTAAGGAATAAACAGGAAGTAAGGATCTTTCAGTGGAGACTGGAAAGTTATTACATTTTAAACCAAAATGTCCTGCTGCATTCTAGCTTTTTGCTCTAGTACTACATGTATATCACAGTATGCTGAAGCCTTTTTCATCCCTGGGCCACCATTTCAGGAATAGTTTAATGCCCTGTCATGCAAGAACACCACAGACATAACCCTGCCTTGGAATCTGCCCACATCGTTTATATCAAATAGAGACAAGAAAAGCAGACAAGAAGAAAAACCCCAAGGCAATTAATGACAAAGTACTCATCTGTTGCTACGTGTTACTTCATCAAAACATTTTAATTTGGAACGGGGAGATTTTTGTCTAAAATGCCAGAGCAATGCATGTCAGGTAAGCAAAGGATAAGCAGCACAGGACAGCTCTCCAATGAACGAGAAAGATGCATTTCTGCCCTAATAGGGGCAGGGCATGGGGACTTTCACTCAAGAAGGTACAGTGCTCATGGACATATCTACTGTTGAAGCAGAGATCAGTGGGTGTCCTCTGAACCAGCCCCCAGAGGAAGTCAATCAATTTTTAAAAACATTGTAAGTAGACTTGACTAGTAAATGCAGTAAGTGTCCAAACTAATTAGCTTTCTATTGACTAAATATATAAATTGTAAGTGTATGAGTAAACCAGATTATCCATATTCAGTGTTTCCCAACCTTGGCAACTTGAAGACGTCCGGACTTCAACTCCTAGAATTCCCCAGCCAGCGAATGCTGGCTGGGGAATTCTGGGAGTTGAAGTCCGGACATCTTCAGATTGCCAAGGTTGGGAAACACTGATATAGATAATACTCTTAACAAACATTTGAATTAAAGATGGCTTCAGAAAGAGTGCCTTAGGGCTTGTAAAGCACTTCTCATTATTGCAAAATATTGTGCACACCTGTTCCTTGCAGTCATGTGATGTCGAGCTCAATGCTTATCAATCTATTTGCATTTATGATTAGTTGCCAAGCACCCCATGATCCATGGGATTACCATCTGCGATCTTTTCTGTCAGCTTCCCCAGAAAGTCAATGGCAAGGAAGGTTGCAAGCAGAGGGAAGGAGGGGTTGGCAGGTACTGAGCTGAAATCCTAAAGATTTCATCTCCGTTCCGGTAGCTCACTGAAGAATTTTCCTACCATGCACAAACTGAAATCCTTTGGCAGGCTGCAGGAATGTTGGAGAGCCCAAGGGCTGCTTGCTGGGAGGATTTCATCACCACGTGCAGCTGAAATCCTTTGGCAGGCAGCTCTTTTGCACCATTCATTAAATGACCCAGGAGACTGCTTAATGACCAAAACTGGGAAGTGCCAGGATTGCGATAATTGAACAAAGCAGTCATGTAGACGTCTCGCTTAACAATCATTTTGCTCAATGACTGAGATTATGGCCCCAATTGTGGTTATTAAGCAAGGACTAGTTGTAAAAGTTCTTAAACTGCATTACAGGTAGTTCTTGCTTAAGTAGTTCTTAAAATAGGAAATAAAATTTAGTTTAATAAATGGTGGTAGAAATGAATGTTGGATATATTTCAATTTTTCCCTAAGTCTCGTTATTTTCTTAGGAAAAAAAAAGAAACAGAATAAAATTTCTGGAAAATTTATATCTCAAATTCCTGTCCTTCACCTCCCATCCTAATATTTACCTCTTCTCTGATTCCGACGTGAGAAAGACCTTTTGCTCCACACGCTCATGTGGCTTGCCAGCTGAGCCAATATAAACCACAGCTGGCCGGCGCAAGTAACTGCGTGCCAGACGTTCCACGGCAGGTGGCATGGTTGCTGTGAACATCACAGTCTATCATGGAAGCAGACAGACACACAGAGAAAAAAATAATACACACAAAGATTCTTACTTGGTTCTGCTTATTCCACAGAACAAAAACCTTTTTAAAAAACCCACCTTTGAGCTCTTTTTTCCCTATCGAGAAAGCCTTTTTCTTTTGTACTAAGACATTTGAATTCTCAAGTGAACAAAACATCCCGAGCATCATAACATGCAATTACAATCCCCCCCCAATAATTGCCATGACCATTCAACTCCCAGCCAGAAGAAAACTCATTTTAATCATGGGTAACTCTCATTTACATTTGAAAGCTGACCATGTGAGATTTAGAGGCGGAATTCTGGGTCAAACAATAGAACTCAGTTTAAACTGCTTTAAAAATACCCAGAGTTGATAACAAGACATTTAAGTGCCACCAACCTGTCGGTATTTATGCTTGCCGGATTCAAAGTTAGCCAGCATCTTCTCTGGGTCTTCAGCCTCATCAGTATCTGGCTTCTGGTTAGTAACAGGCATGTGCTCCAGAATCTTTTGCACATCAGGTTCAAAACCCATGTCAATCATACGGTCGGCCTCATCCAATACCACATAGGTGCAACGGCTCAGCACCAGGTAGCGATTCTCCAACACATCAATCAATCGGCCAGGTGTGGCAATCACAATCTGGAATTCAGAGGGAGAAAGATACTTGTGTCTACCCTGACACTCAAGGCCAAAATCAATCCTTCCCTTCTCTCCTCCAGCAACTTCTGGAAGCAACATACTTCTCAGACTTTGGTTTGGTCAGCAACCTTGAACACTCAAAGAGCCACAAAGATCCTAACCAGTAGCCCCCCCCCCCCTTCAATTCTGGAGCTGACCAGAAGTCCGGTTTCCCCATCATAGTTTCCTCCTAGCGCTGCATTCTTTTTCCTCTACCTGTCCTAACCGAAAGCCCTATCAATTGTGGAGCTGACCAGAAAACCTGTCCCTTGCCAAAGAGTCTCTTCCTGGCATGCCCTGCCTCCCCCAGCCCCCAAACCGGAAGCTTCTCTCAAAATTGTGGTGCTGATTGGCAACAGGGAGCCACAGCAGAGGGATGAAAGAGCCACATGCAGCTCCAGAGCCATGGGTTGCTGACCCCTGAGTTAGAACATTGAGCCAGGCTGTGGAGTGAAGAGAATACCGTATTAAACTATGCATAGTTGCCATTTATCTTTTATAGGGTGCACTTTTCTAATCTACAAGGCAAGCACTTGTGACCAGAAAATGTGATGAATTTTATTATTGCAAGCGCACCTCACAACCCATGCGGAGGCGGAAGCCTTGGTCCTCACGTGAGATGCCACCAATAACAGCCACAGTGCGGATGCCCAGGGGCTTTCCAAACTTAATGGTTTCTTCCTCAATTTGCTGAGCCAACTCACGAGTGGGAGCTAAGATGATAGCATAGGGACCTTGATCTGATTCCTCGATCCTGCAATGGAGAAAAAGGGGCAAGCTGAATGGTAATGTACAATTGAACTGTGAAAATTTACAATTTTTTTTAACACAATGTCTTTGCAACCTAGATCCAGCGGAATCATCTTGAAACATATTAAAAACACATTTCTTGTCATGTTCACTCCTACTTCAACAAAGGATTTCCTAGGGTACTGGATTATCAAATTTAATGGGCTCCCATTGGACCAGATTATTTCTAACCTGCTGTATCTAGTGGCAATTGTTGGATGTAGTCGTGCAGTTTTTTACATAGATTATTCCAATGTCCAATTAGGGCTTCTTCCAAATGTACAGAAGTCTACATATCCAGATGGTGTCCAGTTGGTGAACCATATAAAACATGAACTCTAATAAGATCACTGCAGTGAAGGGGAG